GCAACTAGAAGGATGTGAACCTATGACATACAACTATCTACTGGGGCTTTGGGGGGAAAAAACTGAATAAATAAAAAATCTTTAAAAAAAAAAAAAAAAAAAAAAGAATTCTGTACACAGAAACCATGTTGACATCCCAACAAAGTTCTAGGAAAATACAATCTTTTGGGAATTGCTTTTGACTAATCTGATGAAGAACAGAATGCTACTGGTATTTGCTCCTAGAAAAACCACTAGGAGCTTAATAACATTAAAATTGCCAGAAATAGATTTAAAAATTGAAATAAACTATGAAAACGTTGCAAGTACAAAACTGCTAACCTTCTTGAGCACACAGTGGATTTCATCCATTACTGTGGATAAGTTTCTGATTGTCTTATTCAGTTGGTTTTCAAATTGCAAATTCATGTTTTCTGAAATCTTTAAGTTTTCTTGTAACTGACTAAGGTCCTTTTTAACTTCTCTGAGTTCACCAGAAAGACTTTTGTTGGAGTTCTCCAAATTTAATATGGTTTTTTCATCTTCATCTGTTAAAAAAAAAAACCCAAAGTTCACCATCTCACCCCTTAAAATATCCAACTTAATTTTGAGGTTAAAAATATTTCCACCAGGAAAATAAAAAGTAGATATAATTCTTTACAATGGCCACAAATGTCAATTTCAATGGTTATAAATAACACTGTTAATACTCATTTCATTTCTATTACATTTTGTGGGCCGGCCCCGTGGCTTAGCGGTTAAGTGTGCGCGCTCCGCTGCTAGCGGCCCGGGTTTGGATCCCGGGTGCGCACCGACACACCACTTCTCTGGCCATGCTGAGGCCGTGTCCCAAGCTATGACATACAACTATCTACTGGGGCTTGGGGGGAAAATAAATAAATAAATTAATTAAATTAAATTACATTTTGCCTAAGTATTACTTCTAAATCAGTGTTCATTTTTAGATGATTGTATAGACTAGAGAAATTAACAGAAATTGGAGAAAATGAAGTGGAACTAGGGGAGGATTAAAAGGATGCAACAGAACAACAAAGGAACCTGAGAAAACACATGAAGATCTAAGATTAAATCTTATAAAGCTAGGGGCCAGCCCGGTGGCATAGCAGTTAGGTGCACGCGCTCCGCTGCGGTGGCCTGGGGTTTTGCAGGTTCCGATCTCGGGGGCGCAGTGACGCACTGCTTGTCAAGCCATGCCGTGGTGGCGTCCCATATAAAGTGGAGGAAGATGGGTACGGATGTTAGCCCAGGGCCAGTCTTCCTCAGCAAAAAGAAGAAGATTGGCAACAGATCTTAGCTCAGGGCTAATCTTCCTCACCAGAAAAAAAAAAAAATCTTATAAAGCTAAGCAATTTTATAACCTTTAACAGAAATGGTCAAAAGTAAAGTTACATTACTGCCCAGACTAAAATGCAAGGTATGGCTATGTATGTGTGTATAGGTATGTATATATGTGTGTACACATACATATATTCCAACAGAGTGTTAAAAGTACTGACATATCCAATGCTGTTCCTTACCCGTTTTTTCTTCTAGTAACTGCAGCTTCTGTTCTACTTCAGCTCTTACTTTTTCACTCTTTTCCAATTTTTGCAAGAGGCTTCCTACATCTACCATTGCACCATTGTACACGATAAGGCCAACATTTTCTTCCACATCTTTTGATTCCTGTTTTACTACTGGCGTTGGAAGTAACAACCTGTTTCCTATAATATAATAAACAAGATACCATATTTTATTAAGTTATTTTTTCCTCTTTAATTAATAATATAGTTGTAAAATCACGATCTTAAAATAATATACTCAAACCTAGCATATCTTCCTGCAATGCTTCAGACTCTTCATGGTTTTCTTCATCTTTTGAGGTATCTGTTAATTTCCGGTAAAAGCAAGATTCACGGAGTACTACTTTATTAAGAAGCTTCTTTACCTGTTATGCAAGCAAGTAAACAAAAAGATGAAAATAAGTTTTTGATTCTCCTTGAACAACTGAGTTCTAATTTTCGCATATGATGAATATCAATGGCAGCTGTTTTCTCAGGTATCCACTCCCACTCAATTAGAGCACTTATGCTTTTCTTAACTGTCTTCTCCATAAAACTAAAATCAAAATTATCATTTGAAAAAATTTTTTCAAGTCTAAAATTGATAGAAACACTTAACATATACATTAAAGTATATGTACAAAGATGTTTATTACAGTGTAGTTTGTAATACTAAAAAATGAAAACCACCTAGCAACTGGGACTAGTTAAGGCAATTATGGTACCTCTATATGACAGAATACTATGCAGTCATAAAAAGAATGAAGTGGGTATCTATTTTCATGTTAGAATGCCCATAATACTATATTGTTAAATGAAAAAAAGCTGTGTATCAATATGTATAGAATGATTTCACGTGTTGCTTATAAAACTGGAACTATTATATATACACATACATGAGTTGCTTACAAAAAGATCTAGTAGGTTACATATTAGGCCAGAGGAGTAGAACTAGAGGGAGAGGGGACTTATAACTTTCTTTTACTTTATACATTTCAGTATTGCTTGACTATATTACTTTTAGCCTATATTGCTTTCATATTTCCAAAAGTCAGTACAGATTAAAAAGAAAGATAAAGCTCCGAAAAAAATACTTTTCTTTTTAAATATTCACAAGATAGATTACCTGAGCCCGAGAAAGATGTAGTCCAAGAGTATAAAGTATTTCTTCCAAATCCTTTTCAAGAAGGTAACCACAATGGCTTTGATCAAAATAAACAAATGCCATTAACAGATCCCTGTTAATTGTGATCATCTGAGTCTTTTCTTTTTCCTAAAGAAAATGCAGTAGAAAATATAGTATACAATTTTTATCTCTGAAAAATAAGAAGTTGAAACTGTGTCCATATAATAGCAAAATCTTAAAAGACCTTGGCCTTATCTCAGCAAAAATGAGTTGATCTGGTTTATGTGTATGTGAGAAAAGAATAAGACATGCTGGGGCCGGCCCCGTGGCTTAGCGGTTAAGTGCGCGCGCTCCGCTGCTGGCGGCCTGGGTTTGGATCCCTGGCGCGCACCGACGCACCGCTTCTCTGGCCATGCTGAGGCCGTGTCCCACATACAGCAACTAGAAGGATGTGCAACTATGACATACAACTATCTACTGGGGCTTTGGGGGAAAAAAAAATAAATAAAATTATAAAAAAAAAAAAAAAAGAAAGAAAGAAAGTCTTTAAATAAATAAATAAATAAATAAATAAATAAAAGAATAAGACATGTTGGTTATCTGACATAGCCACAAATATCAAAACATGAACGGCTGAATTTTGCTCTGAGTAGTAATACATAGATAAACAAAGACCAATAAACTTAATGACTGTGCTATATTTAATAAGAAGTCTGGATTATGTAAGAAATGGAAATTATCACATAAAAAATACAGTATTCGATAAATACCTTATCTTTAGAGGGCCTCTCCTTGCAGTACTTGTTGATATCTCTTTTGTCATCTCGTTTGTTTATTTCTTCCTCATCCCGATCTATAAAATAAATACAACGGCAGCAAAAAACTCATTAATATGGATATTTTCAACTATTGTAGAGACCGAAAATACTTTTCTATTACAGGCCAGTTTTCAAAAGGCACAGCAGCAAAGAAGTATTAATTGAATAAAAATAGTTTGGATTTTATAAGAAACAGTTATAAAGAATAATAAGAAGAAATTTACAAGGCGACTAGAGGGAGGGAAAAATGTTGACTTCATTGAATCAAACAAAAGGACTTAATTTCATAAATATTTGGAGGACATAGTTCAAAAAAAATGAATGAGTTTTATACATGAGTATGAAATTGAAAAGTATTAACACAAACAAAAGAAAACAAATTAAAGTATATTTTCTAAAAGCTAAAAGGAAAAACAGCCAATTACTAAAACTAACTGCAAATAGATTACTGCAAAATAAAACTACGTATGACAGGAGTCCCAGGGCCTAGTGGTTACTTTCAGTGCACTCCGCTTTGGTGGCTCAGGTTCGGTTCCCAGGCGTGGACCTACACCACTCATCGGCAGCCATGCTGTGGCAGCATCCCACATACAAGATAGAGGAAGACTGGCACAGATGTTAGCTCAGGGTAAATCTTCCTCAGCCCAAAAAACCCCTACATATGAGAAACTGAGCGCCGGCCCCATGGCTTAGCGGTTAAGTGTGCACGCTCCGCTGCTGGCGGCCCGGGGTTCGGATCCCGGGCGCGCACCGACGCAGCGCTTCTCCGGCCATGCTGAGGCCGCGACCCACATACAGCAACTAGAAGGATGTGCAACTATGACATACAACTATCTACTGGGGCTTTAGGGGAAAAATAAATAAACAAAATTATAAAACAAAACAAAGAAAACAACAACAAAAAAGAAACTGAGAGGTTCTTACGATAATTATGCAGAACCTAACAGTGTTAATATCCAGATTGGCTAACACTAACATATGTGTCCCATGATAAAAGATGGTAACTTGGATCAATAATTCTCAAAAACTGTAACTGTGGAATATATGACTTGAAATCTGTACTGTAGTAAGTAGTCTTAATAATATTCAAGTATCAAAAAGAATAGTTGAGCGATTTATACAAGTCATGACCCTATTTTCATTTTCTAGATTAGAATAATATCTTTTGTTATTATTAAATTTTTGAAAATATAATGCACCCCGTGCAAAATTCAAAATACACAAAAAGCAACTGGCAAAAAGTAAACTACTTTTTCTTACCTATTCCTAGGCTACCCAGTTCTCCAAGACCTCAGCCATTGAGGTCTCAGGCCAACCACCATTACTAGCTTGTTATAGAACTAACATTAAAGAATTAATCTTCCATGCCTGGAGCTGTATCCTCTAAAATTCATATACTGATGTCTTAACCCCTAGTACCTCAGAATGTTACCTTATTTGAAGAAAGAGTCTATACAGAGGTAATTAAGTTAAAATGAGGTTATCAGGGTGAGCTCTAAGCCAATGACTGGGTCTTCACAGAAAGGGAAAATTTAGACACAGACATATGTAGATAGGTGATGTGAAGATACAGGGAGAAGAAGGCCATCTATAAGCCAAGAAGAGCTGCCTGGGACAGATCCTTTCCTCACAGCTCTCAGAAGGAACCAACCCCGCTGACTCCTTGATCTCAGACTTTTAGCCTCTGAGAACTGAGAGACAATGAATTTCTATTGGTCAAGCTACAGTGTGAGGTACTTTTTAAGTACTCCTAGTGAACTAATACATTGTCATTTCAAGAATTATACACAAATACTAAAGAGTTTTTTTGCAGTTATTTAATGATGCATGAACAATTTTAAAAGAGAAATTTTGGTTCTAGAGGCTTCTTGGCTCTCTCAAATGGATCTCCATCAAAAAGCTCAGAGTAACAAATGGTTTGTTGGTAAAATACATGAGATATAGTAAACACTAGGAGTTAACTAGTCCTTGAGATACTATGAAGAATTTCACACTATATTTCCTCCTTGTACATCCACAACACACATAAGCAGATAATATATTTTGTGGTAAAACATGCCAACCTTTGCTTAAGCCAAGTTTCCCAAATTTATTTGGCACGAGTATACTTTATTAAGCTTAATATCTACTAATATCTTGGGACACTCTGGGAAAGACTGCTTCAGGTGAGAAACTGTCTTTGAATAGTAACAACATAGCATAAACTTTTAGTGAAGAGAATATGCATGCTAAAACATGCATGAACTTGAAAACATGCTAAATGAAAAGAAGCTAGTCACAAAAGATCACATATTATATGATTCAATTTATATGAAATGTCCAGAATATCTATAGAGACAGAAAGCTGACTAATGGCTGCCTGGGGCTGAAGAGGTTGGAGGGAAATGGAAATGAGACAGACTGCTAATGAGTACAGGCTTTCTTTCTGAGGTAAATAAAAATGTTCTAAAATTGATTGTGGTGATGGTTGTACAACTCTGTGAATATTTACTTTATTTTATTATCTATCTACCTACCTACCTACCTACCTATTTATTTATTTTTGGTAAGAAAGATCATCCCTGAGCTACCATCTGATGCCAATCTTCTTCTACTTTATATGGGCCGCCGCCACAGCATGGCTTGACAAGCGGTGTGTCAATGCGTGCCGGGATCCGAACCTGCTATCCCCGCCGAAGCGGAGCGTGCGCACTTAACTGCTGCGCCATGGGGCCAGGCCCTCTGTGAATATTTAAAAGCCACTGAGTTGTATATTTTTAAATGGGTGACTTGTATGGTATGTGGATTATATCTCAATAAAGCTATTAAAAAAAGGAAATAGGCAAATGTTCTAAAACTGGATTATGGTGTTGGTTTCACAATTTTATAAAGTTACTAAGAGTTATTAATTGTACACTTAACATGGGTGAGTTTTGTGGTACGTACTGGCACCTCAATAAACTATTTAAAAAAAATAGAGAATGTATCCTTGGAACCTAATTATTTTTCTTATATATAATTTAGTACAGAGTACTCTTCAGCCACTATATAGCTTTATTATCTTGGGTATACTAATTTACTGCTAAGACCCTCAGTTTCCTCAATTAAATGGAAAAAATAATAGCCTCTGAGTGTAACTGTGAGGATTAAATAATACAATTTTTATCAAGAGTGTACCATATACTACACAAAGGTTAAATCCCTTTTCCTTTCATTTATTCACATTCTGTAGACTTGTTCCACCTTATTTGAGCATTTAACTTGAAAGCTGTCACTTTCAAACCTGTGTCTCTCCTTGAACTTATATTTTTAAAATAACTTTTAAAAAATCCAAGTAATACTTGCTCATCTTAGAAAATAAATAAATTCCACCACACAAAAATATACTAAAATTATGGCAGGGATCATGTGCTTTTATTTCTTCCCCACACACATATATCTATGCGTATGAAATACATTTAAAGGAACATGCTGTCTATAAAAACTACTTTGTAATCTTTTTCCATGTCACTATCCTCCAAAATCTTTTTGAATGACTGCAGAAAATTTAATTGCATTTCTATATCGAGATGCATTTAAATAATTCTCTACTGAATATTAAGATTGATTCTAATTTTTTATTTTATGAACAGTTATGGAATAAACATCCATGTTGTTATTAGAAAGGATATGGTTAATTCTCATTTCCAAAATTCTCTCCAGAAAAGGTACAACAATTAAAACTGATCCCAAGAATGATGAAGGAACTCTTCTCTTTACCCTTGTTAAATTAATGTTACCTTTTATTAAAAACTTAATTGTCATCAATTTGATAGGTAAAGAATAGACTCATTGTTATTTACTCCTCTGATTACCAAGAAGATTCAACACCACTTTAGACATTAACTGACATCGTATTTTCATTTTTTTTAAACCATCAATTCTACTTCTCCACTGGAAAAAGAGTGGTCTTTCAGAAACTTGACAGAATAATGAGATATACAATAAACTATGCAACAAACAAACAAACAAACATGATAACATAAGCAAGCAGCAATTGGAACCACCAAGGAAACCAAAAAAGAATTATAATCCTATCACCTTATTTGGCTTGCAGTTTGTGATATTCCTTTAACTAATATCTATTCAGAGCCTCTTTGGATATTTAGACTGTTCCAGGAACTTGCAATATATATCAGCAAAGAAGTCAGAGAAAAATCCCTCTATTTCTTATTAAGAGCTTATATTCAAGCGGGAAGCAGACTAAGTAAAATAAGTTAATAGTATAGTAGAACAGGTTATATATTCTATAAGTAGAGCAGGATAAGGAGGGATCAGAAATGTGTACTGGGGGGAGGATTGCAATTTTAAATAGGGTAGGGTGCAGAGTAGGCCTCACTGAGAAAGTGATTGTTGAACAAAGACTTCAAGTGTGAGGGAGTCAGGAAGGTGGATCTCCGGGTAAGAGTTTGCAGAAGGAACTGCCAATGCAAAGCTCCTAACACAGGAAGATACGAAATGGGTTCAAGGAGGTGAGGGTGCCTGAGGTGCAATGAGCAGTGGAAAGAGTGATAAAAGATGAAATTAGAGACTTGATGTGCTAAGGTCTTATAGGCCACTGTTCAAACACTTTGGCTTTTTTCACAGAGTGAAATGGGGCCACTGTAAGAATCTGAACAAATAAACGAAATGACTTAAATTTTACAAAGGTTATTCTGGCAAGTATTAAGAAGAGACTTTAGAGGAGAAGTGGGTAAGCAGGAAAACTAGTTGAGAGGCTATTAAATAATCTAGGCAAGAGACAACATGGCTTGGATTAGGATTAGTTCAGTGCAGCTGGTGAGAAATGGTCTGCTTCAAGATACGTTTTTTTTTTGTTTTGTTTTTTTTTTTAAAGATTTTTTATTTATTTTTTGCCCCCAAAGCCCCAGTAGATAGCTGCATGTCACAGCTGCACACCCTTCCAGTTGCTGCATGTGAGACTCGGCCCCAGGATGGACAGAGAAGTGGTGCCTCGATGCGCACCCGAGATCCGAACCCGGGCCGCCAGCATCGCAGCGCGTGCACTCAACCACCAAGCCACAGGGCCGGCCCTCAAGATACGTTTTGAAGATGGAAGCAATATGACTTCCTGATAGATTGGAAATGGGATATGACAAAAACAAAGGAGTCAAGGATGACTCCTAGGTTTTAGCTTGAGTAACTAGAAGGATGAAGTTACCAGCAAATGAGTTGGAGAAGGATGAGGGTGAAGGACTTTTTTTGTTGTTTTCTTTTTGGTGAAGAAGGAAAGCAGGAGTTCAGTTTTAGACACGTTTATTTTGAAATGTCAGCTTAAGCGGAAATGTCAAGCAGGCAGTTGATATGGGAGAATGGGAGAGAGGTCTGATTTGAGATACAAATTTGAGAACTGTCAGTATATAGACAGTACTTAAAGTAAGGAGAATGTATGAGAACACCACCAAGGGAGTTATACAGTAGAAGAAATAAATAAGTCAACTAAGGGATGAGAGCTAGGACATTCTAATAGATAAAATAATGAGAACACTGTTTAGTGATTTAACTAAAGCAGTGATAAAACAATACTGGGAGGATAGGGGAGAGAAAATAGACTGTTGAAGGGCTAATCTTCATTGAGCAAAATGAAGATAAATGAAGAAACATTGATACATGCATATTATATCATTGCTATTGAGGTTATTAGGACAATGAAGACTGGATATTAGATGGTATTAATAAATGGCATATGATATTATTGTTAATTTTCTTAGGTGTAATGATTATGAAATTGTAGTTAATAGAATGTCTTGTCTTAGGCAAGTTAAAGAATTCCTACTTTCAAATGGATCAGAAACACACACATAACATACAGACAACACAAATAAGACAAAATATTAACAAACGAATTGACTGTTGGATATAGGGTGTTCAATGCAGTATTCCTTCAATTTCTTTTATGTTTCAATATTTTCATCAAAGAGAAGAAAAATAAAAGGCTTTGGTAGAAAGAAGAAAATGTAAACGCAAACCAAAAATACCATAAATAATAATAATCCTCAGAGATATGTACAATTAAAAAATCTCTTATGATTTTCTCATCTCGGGAAAAGATTTTTTTTAAAAAGCCCCAAATCTACAAAGAGAATGACAGGTACTCAGTGGTACTTTTCAGGTACTTTATGGTTGGCATCTATGACTGATAAGAACATGTATTATGAAGTATTTTGAGCATCATTCCTATTGGTAAAAGTTTGTTACTTAAAACTTGGGTGACAAGTATACAGGTGTTTATTACTATTAGTCTTTAAGCTCTACCTAAATGGTATATGTACTCTTTTCCATGTATGATAGTCTTCATAATTTAAAAAAATACTAAAATTAGTTTTCTAAAGAATATATTCTATGAAACAATGGGGACTATTACATCTTTTATGACAAAGTTTAAGCACCACGTTCAGGAAAATTTTTTTCCTGAAGTTGAGTATTAATTATATATGTTAATCAAAAATAAACATGTCTTAAAATAATCTTGTCACCTAAAAATTAATAAAACAATTACTTAATATATACAGATTTTCACTAGAGAATGTTTTACTGTTTCTATTCTAAATATTAAAAATATCAAAATTATGGATTTCAAAAAAAAACACATTTTCAGCAGTCTTGAAAAAGAAGTAAATAATTCACCTGAAAGCTATGTATTTTAAGATTGGAGCCTCAAAACGAGGATTTGAAAACACTTGAGGAGGAAAAAAACATGACAAAAGGCAAAATAAATGTTTATTTAAGAAAAAAAAATAGATTTCAGTAATGCAAAGTTACCAAACAAAAAACGTATTTTTCACCCTAATGATAAATAAATAAATTTGAATCATACCGTCTTCCTCATCCTCAGCTTCTTCTGCTTCCATTGGATCATATTCATCTTGATTATTATCTTCTTCAGTTTCATCATCATCTTTAGAATCATCTTTTCTTTTATCTTCTTTCTGTAATTTAAAATGCCTTATAATTAAGCAAGATATCTCACCAAACATTAAATGAGTAAAATCAAAAAACATTAAATCCACTAAATTTACTTAGAATAGTTATCACATTATAAATTTCTTAAAACAATAATAGACTTTAATAAACTACCATTCACAATATATGTAAATCAAACCATCATGCCATATGCCTTAAACTTAAAAAAAGGAAACTAGGTATAGATGTTTATACAGGCTCAATTTAAAGACTTAAATTTCTAATAATACATTAAAATCTTTCAGTTTGGCCTTTATGCTTCACTCTTCTGATGGAATTGATCATTATTTGTTACACTCTAGAAGACTAAGTGAAAACTTCTAAATCAGGTTGCTGGTCATGGAAATATTTACAGACCTTCCTTTCATCCCTATCTTCTTTTTTATCTTTATCATCGCCTGATTTTCTCCGTTTGGGTTTTGGCTCATCAGTTTCATCGTCTCTTTCTTCTTTCTTATCTTTTCTCTCATCTTTTTTGCTTTTCTTTTCCTTTTCTTTTTTGTCCTCTTTCTCAGGAAGAGATAATAATGATTTGTATATTCTGACACCAAAATCTCTTTGAAGCATTTCATTGAAAAGTTCTGCAAACAATGAGACCTACAGAAAGATACCAACAGTAACCCAGCCAACTTTAACAGAAATACTGAATATTCAAGTCACCACGGTCACAATAATTTATCAAATAATAACTTGCCACATCTAACAATTAATGTGCACTAACAATAGAGTTATAATAATTGATGTAAATGATGTTGAGGAGCCTCAAAATCCTCAAAAACTCCTCTGAGGATATAAATACTATGTTTAGTACACTTTTGGTGAAATATCATAAAAAAACCGTACAACAGAAAATTTGAAAATAAGTAGGAAAAAAGGATTTCTACTACCTTACACAACAATTAATCTTAATGTTAATGTACTTTATTCATTTACTCAACATGTTTTTATGAAATGCCTACTACGTGCCAGGGACTGTTCAAGGCATTAGGGATACAGCAGTGAAGAAAGCAGATAAAAATCCCAAGAGTAATAAGAGAGTATAGCCAGAGAAGGGCTCTCTGATCAGGTAACAGTTGCAAAGTGACCTGAAGGCGGCAAAGGAATGAGCCATGCAGATATCCAGAAGAGAATTCCAGGCAGGAAAAACCAATGCAAAATTCTGAGTAGGGAGAATACATTATTACTATGCAAGGATACATGGATAATGACCTTTAACATACTCATGATCCTAAAATTATATACTAAATTCTCTATGTAAATACTTCTAAGGCAAATTGCTTTCAACAGATTAAGAGAGTCTAGAACTTGAAATGGTTGACCACAGCTCTAAAATATGTTACCTTTGGCAATTTGTTCTGTATATTTGATAAAACACTTTAATCAGACTATTTGCCTGATCATAAAGGATAATACAAATGTACTGAAATTATAATTGATTTTATAATCTAAAATTTTTTTTAATTCATGCCCAGTCTTTATATGTTTTAAATAAATCTATTAGTAAAATGACCATTAACGTTGAAAATTCCACTTTCTCTTAATTATTAATGCAACTAAACAAAATCTCCATTTGTGTAAGCAAATAGCAAGAGGCATATCTTTTCCTTAGAATTTCCTATTACCTAGAGATAGAAAACTAATTAAAATGTGTCAGAAGAGCAGAATTAATTCTACATCTCTTTTCATCTACAAGCACTGAAAGACAGAGATACCCCTAGCATTAATATTAAATCAGCCTAGGCCGGCCCCGTGGCTTAGCGGTTAAGTGCGCGCGCTCCGCTGCTGGTGGCCCGGGTTCAGATCCCGGGCGCGCACCGACGCACTGCTTCTCTGGCCACGCTGAGGCTGCATCCCACATACAGCAACTGGAAGAATGTGCAGCTATGACATACAACTATCTACTGGGGCTTTGGGGAAAAATAAATAAATAAAATTATTAAAAAAAAAAAATTAAATCAGCCAAAGAGTCATAATTTTATGATAATATACGATGTTTCTTAGTTACAGAATAACTTCCTTTAAAGTCATGTACCAAAATTATTTTTGCATTTTAATGATAGATTAAAAGGAAACTAACCAAGGGGATAAGTGAGGTGGGGAGGAAAAAATAAAGGATCATTTTGCTAGCAAACGGCTGTTTTGCAAATTGCTTTCTTTCCACTAGAGTAGCATTAATTTCAGATCCTCTTACAGCATTGGTTAGATATACAGTATATACTTTATAAGCAGTAATACCAAAAACTATTTTTATCACTTACTTATTTCTTGAATGACTACTATAGGGTAGGCACTATTAAATTTATGGCAACTGGTAATAAAAATAAAATCATATATAGGATGTAACGTTTAAGGACACTGGCTTACTGGAACTATACAAAATTGTAAATATAGCAAGACCAATAAGCATGCACTTCATGTTTTGTAACTGCCTCAGTACTCCTATTTGTTTGCAAATAAATGTCTGTAGGCCTAAGTACTTTACTTCATTTTCATCTTACCATTTGCTTATTACCTCTTGGGTCAAGTAAATATGACTGATTTTTCCAATATAATTTATAAAACAAAAGAATGTGAGATGTGTTGATACGATACAATAATTGAACACAATTATAATTTTGTACAAGCTATTACAAAATTAATATTTTGGGATATTTGACATTGTTTTATTTAAAGAATGAAGCAATCATTTATTTAGGATAAAATCTTCAACTGTTTTCTTCTTTTTTTTTTTTTTGGTGAGGAAGATTAGCCCTGAGCTAACATCTGTTGCCAATCCTCTTTTTGCTGAGGAAGACTGTTCGTGAGCTAACATCCACGCCCATCTTCTCTACTTTATATATGGGATGCCTGCCACAGCATGGCTTGATAAGCAATGCATAGGTCCGCACCTGGGATCTGAACCCGCGAACCCCAGGCTGCCAAAGTTGAGCACGCAAACTTAACCTCTATGCCACCAGGCCAGCCCTTCAACTGTTTTGAAAAATGACAAACTATGTTATAAAAGCTGTTCTAAAATAATGGTACAAAGAAATAGATTCATGTTGCTCAAAGATAAATATCAATTATTTTACCTTACACCTTAATCATCACAGGTAAAATTTTCAATCCCCTTAAAGGTTATTTTAATTCTAGAGTAAATAATAAAGTGTTACCTTATTTCCCAAGAGAGGTAATTAGACATTATGTATCATGTGTCTCCTGATATCCTGATAAAAAAACACACCACTGCTTATGAAGTAGTTTTAGGGAAGAAAATAATTGAACCTGAACCTGATTAAGACTTTAGATCCAACTATCAATTTACAGGAAATACAGAGAATAGCAGAACATTTAAACCATACCACAGAAATGCAATCAGCAAAAGTGAGTCTACTGGAAAAATCACCTGGTTGTTTGCTCTCAAAAAGATAAATTGCAAGAAAAGAACAGAAAAACACAAGCAATGAAAAAGGCACTCAAAAGAGATTTAAGAGACATATTAACCAAAATTAACCATATTAAGTCAAAATGTGTGGACATTATCTGGATCCCAATTCAAACTTAAAACATTACCTCAAATGAATGTTCTTTATTATCCTCTAATCTGTAGTCCAAAAGTACACTCAAAGACATGATGCTACAATCAAACTTGCCACTTTTTGCAGCCCAATTTGGATGTACAATGATGGCTGGTTCATCAGGCAAAATGTATCTTCTTTCCCGACGCTGGCGTTCCATTTCCTCTTGACGTTTTCTCTCTTCTTCCTATATATTTGAAATTTTAAGTAATGGTTAAACCTCCATGTACAATACGTATATATATATATCAAATGTACACCATGTAAAGAAAAAAAGGCAATATTCCCACGACTCCTTATGGTCATTATACCAACCACTGGATCTGGAAGGGAGGAAAGTTCAAATTTACTAAAGAGGACAGCAGCTTCATGGCTCCTAATTCTTTCTTTTGGATTTCCTAGCATAAGAAACTGCCTTCTCAAGAGGAAAAAAAACCCCATCTATTTTAACATTATATAAATCACGGGATTTTGGGAAAACAGTGGTCACAGCATAGTTTTTGGATCCTCCTGAATCACCAAATTAAAAAGAGAATAATCTAAATACCAAACCAAAATCCACCTATGTTCACAACAAAACGAGGTAACAAGGTAGTTCCAACAAACCCCAACATACAAGTGGGTGGGAAAAAGCCACAAGAGCCAAAAGTTCTATGTGTTACTGGTGTCCGTCTGGGGGGAAAGTAAAAGGAAGCAATGGGGTCGTCTGATGGACCTAAGAACAAGAAAACCACAAAACATTCAATAGACATTCACTGGAAAGAGCAGCAGGTGAATTTAAGAACAGCAGCCGAAACTAGGCAAGGTTTTATCCCCAACAATAGTGAGTGAGTACAAGGGATCCATGTTAAGATCTGAAAGGGCCTAGAACATTCTACCCTATGAACTTACAAAGCTGATTTATCAGGGCATCCTTCCAGCACAGAGTCCCACACTGAGGAGAAACTTCTGGTAGTAGAATCTATAGTGAGCAAGACAAGAGCAGGAGACATGGGAGAAGGTCCAGATAAAAAGTGATAGAGGGCAATAGAGATAAAAATCTCAGAAAGCAAGCCACCATATTTTTTGACAAGACAAGAAAACAACAAAACATAGAGCTCTGTGAAGTTAGAAAAACTATCTGAGGCAATCTCCTTCTAACAAAATTTTAGGCAAACTAAATTCACATAAAAATGAGCAACAGAAAAGTATTTATTGAGGTCAAATCCCATACAAAGTTACTATTTTTAAAAAAAGAGAACAAGGAGCAGAATTACATTTCTGCAGACAATGAAAGTGGGCCAGAAAGACATGGCCACAAGATAGATAAAAATTTTAACTTAATTTACTGTCCTAAAAGAAATTAAGAAAATGTTACAAGATATGAAAGAACAACATAAATAAGAATTTAAAAAGTAAAAAGTGTAGTGATAGAGTTCTGGAAACAATTAGAAAGAAAAGATAGTTTCAGAAATTTAAGAATAAACTAGAAGGAATACAAAAGCAAACTTAAGAGAACAGAGGTAATGGGGAAAATTTTTAAATCAAAAAGAAAGGAAGGGGCCAGGCCGGTGCCGTAGTGGTTAAGTTCGCGCTCTACTTCAGCGGCCAGGGGTTCGCAGGTTCAGATCCCGGGCATGGACCGATGCACCGCTTGTCAAGCAGTGCTGTGGCGGTGTCTCACATAAAGTAGAGGAAGATGGGCACAGATGTTAGCCCAGAGCCAATCTTCCTCAGCAAAAAGAGGAGGATTGGCTATGGATGTTAGCTCAGGGCTGATCTTCACAGGAAAAAAAAAAAAAGAAAAAGAAATGAAGAGGAAAAGGATTCAAAAAAGTGTGACTGCTGGGCCGGCCCTGTGGCTTGGTGGTTAAGTGCGCGCGCTGCGATGCTGGTGGCCCGGGTTCGGATCCCGGGTGCGCATCGAGGCACCACTTCTCCGTTCATCCTGAGGCCGAGTCCCACATACAGCAACTAGAAGGATGTGCAGCTACGACACACAACTATCCACTGGGGCTTTGGGGGGAAAAATAAAATAAATAAAATCTTTAAAAAAAAAAAAAAAAAAAGTGTGACTGAGGAAGCAAAAAGGTTCAACATGAGATAACAGAATTCCTTAAAGAAAACAAAAGGGAACAGAAAAAATACAAAAAACTATTATTTAAGAAAACTTGCTTGTTCATAGCAGTATTATTCACAACAGCCAAGAAGTGAAAACAACCAAGTGTCCACCAACAGACCAATGAATAACAAAATGTAGTATATACACCTAATGGAATACTATTCAGCCTTAAAAAGTAATGAAGTTCTGATAAATGCTACAACACGGATGAACCTTGAAAATATTATGCTAAGTGAGACAAGCCAGACACAAAAGGACAAATACTGTATGATTTGGCATATTCAGAGACAGAAAGTAAAGTAGAGGTTACCAGAGGACAGGGGAGAGGGGCTTGGGGAGTTACTGTTTAATAAGTAGAACTACCGTTTGGGATGATGATAAAAGTTCTGGAAATGCATAGTAGTGACGGCTGCAAAACATTGTAAATGTACTTAATGCCACTGAATTGTACACTAAAAAATGATATAATGGTAATTTTTATTTATATATATTCTACCACACACAAAAAAATTTTGATGAAGAGAAACTCTCCTGAAAAAAAAAAGATCTCAAACTATCTACTGAAAGAGCACATCATGCATCTGAAGATATTAACACAGAACGACCAATATCAAGAGACATTTCTAACAAAATTAGAAATTTTGTGCATCTAGGCAAAACAGCAGGTGATTGTATCAGAAAACAAACTGCATTACCATCACTTTTTGAAAGCAAAACTTTATATCAAAACAAAGAGTAATATATTTAAGATACTCAAGGAAAATAAATGTGAGCCAAAGATTTTATATTCAGCAAAACTGACTTTCAAGTATAAACGGCATGGTCAAAGCGTTATTAACAAAGAAGAACTTAAATATTGATACCATGAGCTCTGAGGAATCTACCAGAAGCAAGCTTCAGAAATAACAACAAAAGGACTAGTGGTGAGCATTAGAAATATACTTGTAGAACCGAGATTAAAAAAGGATTAAAAGAGAGTACAGTAATGTAATGCTACATGCTCGAACAATGTAATTACAGTACTTCATAAAAACAATGGGGAGAAAATAGGGATAGAAAATGTAAAAATATTTTAAACTAATTTTAGCAATAATATTGGTGGTGGTACTAATATTAGTATTGTGTATCTGTATATACACGTTTCTATCCACTGGCAAAAAAAAAGAGGACAATTTGAGCTTCAATGAGGATAAGAATTGCAAAGGACTGAAACCCATCAAATGTGTTTAAATCTGTGAACATAAAATGATGTTTAAAAACAAACATCTGAAGATGGCAGGGAAGCAATTAATTATCTTGAAAACTAGATAAACAAAAAGAAAATAGTGCTTGCTTTAGAAGCATATATTCTAAAATTAGAATGATAAAGAGAAGATTAGCATGGGCCCTTCACAAAGATGATGCAAATTCATGAAGCATTCTATATTTTAAAAAAAAAAAGAATCAAGCCTTGATCCTGCCTTCTTCTACATGAATTTACCAATAGATAAAACTGTACCACTGGGTAACCAAACAGCAGATGAGGAGATGATGTGAAAACAAAATGAGAATTATAATACCACCATTTTTCAACCCCAACAAATCAATGGATCTAGGATTTGGGCACCAATGGCCACTAACATCAAAAAGTGAAAACTGGCTCTTTTTTGCTTTTTCTTTCTACTCTTCCTGTCCTAAACAATTCAGTTCTAAAGCAATTCCTCCAAGCAAAGCAGTTGTCTATACAAGGGATGGAGGCCGGCAGGGAGAGAGAGCTACAATGGCCCAGAGCAGATGAGCTGCCCAGTTACCAGGTAATGAAACTCAAATGGAGCAAGGAGGGCATCTATACAGAGAAACAGCACAAGGTAAGAGATTGAGACCAAAGTAGAATAAGGAGGGTATCCAGAGGAGAGAGAGAGAGAAAGCAGTGGACAATTGAGCAAATAAGTAAATATACTAAGTATAACGAAGCTATGTTTCTCATTATTGGAGAAAGGAGTTAGATATATGGAAAGGTAGAAAATCAGAACGAACTCTGCGGCGTTGGAGTAGAATTGGAGATATTAGTATAAACTCATTACTTCCAATATACAAAGATGTTGTAACAAATATAGATGTAAATATATATGTAGGTATGCATATGTATACATGAATATATATCTATTCCATAGCTCTGTTCACTGAGAGGGGCTGGGAGCAGCACAAGGATAACAATGAGCACATCTCGGCTTCTAAATACCATTACCGGTCTCCACAGTGGGACTGAAACATGGTATTGTGCTACAAAATAGGATCCTCAAAAAATGATGAGCACAGAAGCCCATTTGAAAGGGCTCCCACTGGCCAACTATAAGACAATTTCACTATCAAAATAAATATTTATAGCCTATTGAATAAAATAAGAAACCATGAATCCATGCACCTCTTAAGTACAAGGTAATTCTCCTACATAATCACAAAATCATTATCACATCCAAAAAATTTAACATTCCTTCAATATTATCTAATATCACATCCATATCCATAATCAAATTTCCCCAATTATCCCAAAAATACTCTTCATGGCTTTTTTTCCCCTATCCGGGATCCAGTCAAGTTTCACTCAGTTGTCATGTCTCACTAACCTCCTTTAATCTAAATCACTTTTTTTCTTTTGTCTTTCATTACATGAACAGTTTTTGAAAAGTTCAGACAAGTTGCTTTGTAGAATTTTTCACATTCTAAATTTATCAGACTATTTTCTCACAATTAGATTAAGGTAAAACATTTTTGGCAGAAATACTTCATAAGTAATGATGTGTACTTCACAATGCATCAGATTAGGAAACATATAATATTGGTTTGTCCAATTATTGGTGTTATAACACACTTAAGATATCCCTATATTTCAAATTCGGAAAACAAACGCATCCAGCAGTATTCTACTGGGCATAAGACTGAGGCATAAAATGGCTTGAATAAACAGTCTCTGAATCTTAAGAATTAAGATGTAATCAAACACAAAGCTTTAGAAGCAGCAAAATTCTAGGACAAGCACTTCACTAGAACCCAATTTCTGAACTTAACTGCCCTAACAAATTTTCTTTACTAAAACCTATAATTTATTATTCATTTTTAAAAGGGAAGATTAAAAACACATGACTTGGAAATAAATGTCTCTCAAGTAGAGAACAAATAAACAAACTGTGATACATTGATATGGAATATTATTTAGCAATAAAAAGGAACAAATTACTGATATACACAACATAATGGGTGATTCTCTAATGCATTATGCTAAGTTTAAAGAGGTCAGACTCAACAGGTTATGCTAAGTTAAAGAGGTCAGACTCAACAGGTTATATATTCCATTTAAATGATATACCGAAAAAAACAAAATTATAGGAAAACAGATCCGTGGCTCCCAGAGGCTGGCGAGGTGAGAGAAAAAAATGCTTACAGAGAGGTACAGGGGATTTTTAGGGGGAGACAGACCTGTTCTATATCTTAACTGTGGTGGTGGTTACATGACTACAGTCATGTGCCACATAATGACATTTCAATCAATGATGTACCACATACACGACAGTGGTCTCGTAAAATTAGTACCATATAGCCTCGGTGTGTAGTAAGCTATACTATCTAGGTTTGTGTAAATACACTCTACGATGTTTGCACAATGACAAAATTGCCTGACACATTTCCTAGAACATATCCCCGTTTTAAGCAACACAACTGCATATGTATTTGTCAAAACTTCCAGAACTGTTCACTAAAAAGGTTGAATTTTACTGTTATGTAAATTATACCTTAATAAAAGTACACATACACATATCCCAAGAACTCCCTATTAACCAGTATTATATTTAATATATTATTTAGTATATTTAAGTGATTTAGTATATACCTCTTTATCATCTTCAGATTTCCTATCATCCTCCTCTTCCTCTTCTTTTTCAGATTTCTCTAATTCCTTTTGTTCTTCTTTTTGCTCTTCTACTTTAAGCTGTTTTGTCAATCGGGCTATTAACTGGGATTTTAATCCTTTGGAACTAAGAGCTCGACTCTCTAATTCTTTTCGAAGATCATTTACCTAAATATACAAAGCAGAAAAAGAAAATGGATACTGAAATAGTAAACAAACTCTGCAATTATCTTTTGTCTGATTTTTTAAAATTCTGATGAAAGGGACACTTGCACAGCTCGTAAAATGGTTGTGAAAATGCAAACTGATAGAATTAGCTTTGGAAAATAATTTGCAACTTTTTTTTTTTTTTTTTTTGGTGAGGAAGATCAGCCCTGAGCTAACATCCGTGCTACTACTCCTCATTTTGCAGAGGGAGATCGGCCCTGAGCTAACATCTATTGCCAATCCTCCTCGTTTTTTTTCCCCCCAAAGCCCCAGTAGATAGTTGTATGTCATAGTTGCACATCCTTCTAGTTGCTGTATGTGGGACGCAGCCTCAGCATGGCTGGAGAAGCGGTGTGTCCGTGCGCGCCCTGGATCTGAACCTGGGCCGCCAGTAGCGGAGCACACGCACTTAACCGCTAAGCCACAGGGCCAGCCCTGCAACATGTTTTAAGATACTTAAAAAAAAAAGTTAATGCTCTGTGACCTAGTAATTCTAATTTCTGGGAATTTACCCTAAGAAAATATCCTAAACACAAAAAAAAAACTTTATACATTCCTTATAATAGGCTCTCCCTGGAAAAAAGTGAAGAATCTAAATATCCGATAAAAGAGTAATACCTAAGAAAAACAGAACTATATCAACTAGATGGAACAGTACAGAACATTTAAAAATAATTACATAGGAAACGCTAATAGTAATTTAAAAGGATGAGAAAGCACCTTTTTTATACAACACGATTAGAACCAACCAACCAACCAATCACATAGCTTGCACCCAGAAAAAAGAACGGAAAAAAATACATCAAAATTTTAAGCGCAGCTGTGTTTGAGTGATAGGCTTGGGTAATTTTTTCTTCTATTTTTTATGTTATGTACCAAAATAAACATGCATTATATTTATAATCAAAAGAAATACAAGTTTCAAAATAAGAAACTTATAGCAAAGCCATCAGTTTGACAAAAAGTCCTGGGATGCAGGCTTACTCTAAATGCCTATATTTTCTAAGTCTATAGGACTCCATATGAAACCTAATATTGATGACAACAACTTGAAGTAGTGCAAGAATAACAAACCAACATTCTTATGATACACATTCTCCACTAATTAAAACAGCAATGTGGGTTAAAAAAATACAGTTTCATAAAAAAGAAAAACTGTTTTTTACTGAGAACAGAGGTTAACCAAAAGGTCAGTTTTTATGTGTTAAATAACAAGCTGCAACAGCAAGTACTGATCAGCCTGTGATCTTTTTTTTTTTAATAATTTTATTTATTTATTTATTCTTCCCCCCAAAGCCCCAGTAGACAGTTGTATGTCATAGCTGCAAATCCTTCCAGTTGCTGTATGTGGGACATGGCCTCAGCATGGCTGGAGAAGCGGTGTGTCGGTGCGCACCCGGTCTGAACCCGGGCCGCCAGCAGCGGAGCACGTGCACTTAACCGCTAAGCCACGGGGCCAGCCCCTTGATCTTCTGATCTATGTAGAATAAATGTATGTAGACTCTATGTATCTACATTCAAATTACAGGCCTAGAGATGGAAAACTGTAGAAAGATAATAGGTCCAGAGACCCTGGAGAGCAAAAAAAAAAACTAGTACAGATTAACAAAAGATTTTCAAAAGAGGTTTTAAATTATTATTTCCTTCCCTTCAGATGTATATCAGTCCGCTTTTTTACTTGCAAATTTTATTTTAAAAACCAGATAATCTTTTTCCTATGTTTCTTCCCTTCTGAAATTTAAATAGTGTAGTAATTCTGCCTTCTTGGTCAGTCCCCAAATCAGAAAACAATGGTGCTCATGCTATAGGCTCTTGTATATTGCATTCAACAAATATTTATGAAATCACCTTTTGTTAATTTTTATACACACACATAAGTACAACATAGAATATTCATATAAAATCAATGGACTTCATTTGTAATGGCTTTTATCTGAAAAAACACTGTCCTCATTCTCTATTCCTGTTGAGAGATTTCAAATTAAATACTCTCACTTTCCAAGTTACCTTCATTGTCTTTGGATCAAGTTTAGACCAATGGGTAGGAGTGGAAATTTCTTTAGCTTCACCATCATCTTTCTCTTCTTCATCCTGATATACAAAGTTAGGAACATAATTACTATTCTGAAACCTTAAAATAAAAGTAATTTATTTTTAAAAGTCTGTTGCTGATCTGTGCAAGGTCACAAATGTTTCAGATTGTCTTCTCCTAAAGTTATTATTTAGGCAAGTCCACGTACATACATTCTACCACTTTTAACTGATCACAAAGACACTCATCAGCCAATCAAAGCCAGATCTGTGAAACACAAAAGGGTGATAAATTACAACACAAAGGATATCAGGGATGCACAAACACTGCCGGTCTCCACTAACCACACAGTGTGTGATCTTGCCCCAATTTTCAAGCCACCCAAAGTTAAGACTGATTTAGTCAGACCTTTCAAATGTACCAAAGACGATGCCACATAGCCTGAAATTTCAAATCTCTCAGACTTGTGGTTGTCCAATTTCAAAAATCCATGACTAGAACTGATGACCGTGAAAGAGAAAAATTTTTAAATTTTAGAAAATGGCAAAATGTTTAAAATGGCTTAATACTGATTCTTGCTCAACAACTGGTCCCAGATTCCAGCAACTAGACCTATGATAAAAACAAAATTCTGTGCAATTTAAGCACAACTTATTCTCCTTTGAGGTCTCAGCACTCTTAAAGTTAGTTTAATAGACAGATTTTTTTTTTTTAAAAGAAAAGAACATACAGCTATACTGCTGAAAGCTGGATTACCAGTCGCTGTTACCAGTTATGTTCCTCCATGTGTGTTTGTTATGTAGTGTGTGGTGTGCATTTGTGCCTGTGTTCCTGTGCCTGTGAGAAGCGGAAATAGAAAAAGGGATTAGCGTTCAGTGCCTGTTCTCCATCAGCCTCCTTGCGTTCACCCTGAAGCTTCTCGACCAGCTGCTGCTTGTATCCTCGGGAGAGGGTTTCCCACTCTGAGCGGGTGGGAAGGCAATGCCAAACATCCGGGAAAAATAAAACCACTGTCTCCACATGAGCTGGAACTGTACGCCCCTTGTGGGTCTCCTCAGGGCGATGGTAGCGAATCTCTGCAAAACGGTACCTGTTGCAAGGGAAGAAGCATGTTGGAAAAAAAATTCTAAAATACATTTTAAAGACCCTAGTTCACTTGTAGCACATCAAGTAAAGAAATTTTGCTGCAAGAACTTGAGGTTGGTCTAAAGAAAAAAAAATTATAGAAGCCATAGTTCCTCTTTTGGTACATTTGTACAATATTTTATGGTTAAAAGAATACGTTCCCCAAGGCATTTTCATGTTTGATTACAGAGCTACCCTTATTTTAGAGAATACCTGAAGAAGCTGGATAGCTGTTCAGATTTCATGTGCTAAAAAAGAATATTCTCAATTAAGACACAAGAAATATACTAAAATACACAGGACAAATAAGCCTCAAGAGAAAATATGGCTGAACAAAAATAATCAGCAACTACATCATTTTATAACAAAAGAATTATAATGAAATGAAGTTCTCTCTTGACGATCTTCTCCAGCTATGCATGAAATGAAAAATATTTTCAACATACATCCAACTTCCAAAGTACAGCATAACAAAACATTTAAATTTTCAGTTTATTTTGATTAGTTCTTAATCCTTTTTCCCCCAAACATTTTTGGCACCAAATAAACTTTTGCTACAAATGGGGATTTTCCTTTGAGATTACCTGCACGATCAAGGTTGCTAAAATAACTGGGGGAAAAAGGCTGATAGACAAGAACACCTACATAAACTACTAGAAAAACATTTCTAATCAAGAAATGAATTGGTACTTACCATTGTGTGCATACACTTAGATCAATGCCTGTCAGAGCCTTACAACAACGAATAGCAGTCTTAATCAACACAGAGGGGTCTTTTTCTGGGTCTGGTCCATCCAACGAAGGAGACCAGTGGCCTCCAATGGCCATAGCTTCATCCTTGCCTTTCATGCCCACTAAAAACTAATTCAAAACAAAGAATCATTTACACATATCACGCAATTTGTCAAATTACAAATAAAATACATGAAAAGGAAAGGTACAAACCTTTCCAATATCATTTTTACTACCTCTGGAATCTGTCAGTCAAGGAAGAGTTCAGTTCATTGTGTTCCACACTGCATTTCAGCAATGGAATAGGATTTACACATCATAACTCATCCTTCTAAAATATTTCTTCAGATAAAGAGTTCTTTTAAAGAAAGCTATAATTCAAACTTTAACAGCACCCAAAGATACACTAGATGCATTATCCCTAAGATCTTACTATGCTACAAATATAAAACACCAAAACAACAGTTGAACTAGTGACATACACATAAGATATAGCCATAATCTGTAATGAGAAAAACATCTACATCATTAAATTCTGAGTACCTTAATATAAAATTAGTTATTAAACAATCAATAAGATTAAAAGGATGGTATTTTCAGTTTTATATATATATATACACAGTTAGAACCCAGCGAAGTGAATATATGCCTGAAGTTGAAACAAATGTTTCATTTTACCTTAACAAGTCTAGCAGGATGTTGAAATCCATCTCGAAGTTCTTGGGGGTCTTCAGCAAGAGCACATGACTTATGATACAAATCTTCCATACTAGGGCTAGCCATCAGCATTACCTATTATAGTCAAATAATTCAATCCTGTCAAAAGTCTAAAGTAGTGTAAGAAAACGAAAAGCACTACTAATTATCCTTTCATATTAGATATCTGATATTTTTTATAAAATGGAAAAATAAAAAGCTATAGCAGTAATGGTATTAGATACTTTATAATTATATAGTTTTAACTTTTCAAGGGATGCTTTTTGATCAATATTTTAAAATAGCAGAAAACTACCGACCCTTAAGCAATATACTAAATGTTACCCTGAAGACTAACATACAGTGCATTCATTCATCCAACATTCTGTTTTATCTGGCGCTACCAGAAGTCATAAAACATTACAAAAAGCTCAATAACATCTTCACATTTTTATAAGGTTCAAAATGTTAAAACTTACATGATTTTACAGCCTAAGAAGTAAGGCAAAGAGAGGTTAAATTAAACTACTTAAACAACCAAACACAATCAGGCAGACAAGAAAACATAGCTATGTGAGTCTTCAACCTAATAACCACTTTCTGAAGATTAACTCCACATACACTCTTAATATGAATGCTCAGAAATTTCAGCTGTATATCACAGCAGAATACAAACCTTTGCACTGTATAAGTGGTCAGCATCTGGTGGATCCAGAATGGCCATATTTTTTTCTAAGGACTCTACTTCTCTGTGCATTACATAGAAATTGCAGTAATTTCCCAGTTGAAATGGTCTTGACAAAGGGAAAGCATCCACCCATGTAAACTGAGCATCAAAAAAGTCACTAGGTATATATAAATTCTGATAACGGCGCCTTAGTTCCATCATGTCACAACTAGGACTGAAAAACAGACATAAGTAGTGAATAAACAGGAAAGATTATGCAAACATTCACTCAATTCTGAAGCTAAATATATAACCTGACACAGATAAAAGCCAGCTCAAAACGGACAGAGTCAATTATCAATGAGCTACAGACTTGCATAGAGGCATATGAAAATCTCATTTTCAAATTTGTTTACTTACAGTGCTGAATAAATAACTGGTACCTAAGTGTTACCTTTATTTCTTTACTTTTTGTGTGTAGCTTAAAATTCATTAGAGAAGACCTTTTGAAATAACTTCAACCCCAGCTCCAGTTCTGCCTCAGCTGAAACTGCATTTTTGAGAAAATTATGGCTCATATAGAACAAATATAAAGAAGGGATAAGAGTGGTACCAAATTAGTATGAGTGCTCCTCAATCAGGTTTATACAGTAGAGAAAAAATACAACCTTTATTCTACAGTAAGATCCTAGATCAAACATATTTACATTCAAAACTAAATATAAAAATCCACAAGAAAGTAAAATCCAAATGTTTTTTGGATTATCCACACCTTCATACCTCTCTATATTAATGATTAAGATCCATACCTGATTATTATGTAAAGAGAAAAATAAGTTTCTTGCCTTTTAAATCTGGCATACTGATTTTTTTAAAGGATGATTTCCTTTTTCCTAAGAAGCAGAACTTTTAAAGAAGAACTCAAAGGTAAATCAATCTGGTAAAAAGTCAAGAGATTTGTGTTAAAAGCATAATGATAAGTGGAAAACACCAACAATTTGTAAGATGAAAAGATAACTACGTCGTCTTTTTCAAAGACAAAGGTATGAAATGTGAACTAATATATTTGTAGGGATGTCTTTCTATTTGAAGCCTAAAAGTAAGAAATATAATATATAGTCAGTTACAGTTGTAAATAGATTTTATTTGGAGAAAATTCAGCTGTCAAAATAATAAAAATGTGAAAAACAGGTACGTGAGTTCTGTTTTTGATTAAAGAAGTGCTGCAAACAGAAAGTATGTGTAATATTTTCCTAGTTTACCATCACTAGAATTTCTGAAGTCATGTTTTACCCCCTAGGAATAAAATCTATAATAAAACAAAAGATAAGAAGTATAATAAACAACTTCGTGGCATATAGTCTCTTATAATCATATTACTATAAGAAAATTTTAATTTCCACAACTACAGATGAGAAGAGGTATGGAAACTTTAAAATTTTTATTTGTAATGGGTTCATCTGATATTCTGGGAACTTACTTCAAAGTGGTGAAATAAAACTGCAAATGTCTAACTTGGAAGGAGATTAGCTGTTCAGTTTATATCCTATGCCTCTTTCCATAATAAGGCAGAGCTACTCTACTGAATATCTTTGAGGCTGGAGAAGTGGTTTTGGTCTCAGTGAGTTTCTCTGAAATATGCAGACTAGATATTTTTAAGTATACAAGTAAATAGGGATAACAAGAAAACTAATATAAATTAAGAGTAGTTGCTGATCTGACCACAAGCAAGAGTAAAACACCAACTACATAACAATTAAGCAAAGTTACCAAGCAAAATTTTTTTGGTATTGTGTAGCTTAAATAAAACACACTGGTTTATTCGATCTAGAATTGAACATAGAGAAATTTTAACTTTTGATAGGCCAGTACTATGAATATTAATTATTATACTTCATTGAAATGCAACAATATCCTCTCAGGACACTGAAATGCATACAGTTATTCGTTCCCATGCCAAACAGCTTTAAAATGCTGCTTTTAGTAATTCATTTTTCTTATTTTACTATTTGTTTTTTCCATCTGTTAATTTATCTTATATACAATTGCCAGTCCCAGGGCCTTTAGATGATTCTTCCTTTCCCTTAGTCATACCAATTGTCTTTTTATGAATTACAACTTTGCAGCTGTTTCCTAGTTAGCCACCATATCCCACCACCACCATTAATTATTCAGTATCTACAACTGCCACACACTGGGTTTTATGCTTTAGACACATGAACTCAACTTAACCACATGATAACTGTGCTGGTTGAAACTACTTCCATTTTGAAGGTGAAGCTCAGAAATTCTTGGTAACCTGCCCATGACCTCTGATTCCAAAAGTTGAAAATCTATTTATGTATACACACATGTGTATATACATAGACATATGTATATGTATATGTGTATACATATCTGTGAGTGTATATGTAGGTCTATGTTTCTATTATAATACATTGCCACAGCTAACTTGAAATAATTGGTCCATTGCTGTATTATTACTTCATCATACATAATGGACTATACATGAACTTCATACAGTTATCAATATATCTAGATCTTAAATGATTCTAACATTAAGGAACAATTTCATCACAGAGGGGTTACCTTTTTCAATAGCTGATATCCTTAATGAGTGCATGAAAATAATGCACCCTCATAAAGAACTAAGTTACAACTTCAAATTGTATTTCTGCCCTTATATAAACTAAGAGCACTACATTTCAGGAAATGAAAATTGCAAGAAAAACATTCTACCAAATTATACAAAAATCACAAAATTAGTAATTCAATAAAACAATGGGGGAAAAAGGAACTTACCAATCTAAAGAAAACTTTGAAAATTGAACCGTGTAACGTGGAACAACACGTCGAACTCTCCGAGGTGACCGTTCTCTCTCTCTTCGAGGAGATCTCTCCCGGGAACGCTTTCTCTGAGGAGATCTTTCTCTGGATCTACGTCTTTCTCTCTCCCTTTCACGACTTAAAGCAAATTTTTCTAAAATTACGATTATTTCTGGCATTATAGAAGAGTTCTTTAATGAAATAAATATAATAGGCAATATAAACAAGATTTCACAGTATACTTTTTTAATAAGTCTTTAAAAACTATGGTAAAATATACATAACATAAACTTACCATTTTAACCATTTTTATTCTTAATAAATGCAATGTGCATTCACATTGTACAACCATCATCATCATCAAAAGTATACTTTTAAAAACATACCTTCGGTCATCTTTTCTGTTAGGCACTTGATCTCCTCTGTCATTCCTTCCTGAAAATCTGGATGGTGGATCTAACCTTCGTGCTGGTTGCGGCTGTGAAACTATACGAACAGGAGGCTGCAATAAACCAGCTTTAAAAGAAACATAAAAAAATATTTTAACTTATTTAAACAAAGTTCTAAAGCATTCCCTGGTTAAATATTACAGATAGAAAAAGTTGGCTAGTATTTTAGGCTTTGCAGCCTGCAAATGGTAGAACTATTTGTATATCAGTCTATTTCTTTGCAACTCTTTAAAAATGCAAAAACCATTTTTAACTCAGGAACCATATAAAACCAGGTCATGGACCAAATCCAAGGGCTGTAGTTTGCCAACCTCTGATCTATAGACATTAAACCAAAGATTGCTATACAACAAGATATTTACAGGATGCCAAAGTATCAGCTATAGATTTATCTGCGCAGACAAAAAATAAACCATAATGGAGAGACCCATGGACACCACTTCCACCAAGTAATCAAATTTAGCATCAATAAGAGCATACGAAGTTGACAAACTGTGCCTCCTACTATGATGCAATATGAATTACAAAACATCACCTATAATGTGTCCTTGCCATAAGCCTTTAGACTTAGCTTTTAGTTTATAGTTTATATGGCAGATAGAGGAACAAGGTAAAAACATGGCAAGGAATCAAGACAAATACAAAACACAACATTCCAAAAGAATCTTCAGGTCAACTCAATTTCTTCAAAAAGTCAATGTCATAAACGAAGAAAGAAAAAGTGGGAAACTGGGCCGGCCCCGTGGCTTAGCGGTTAAGAGCAGGCGCTCTTAAGTGCGTGGCGGCCCGGGTTCGGATCCCGGGCGCGCACTGATGCACCGCTTCTCCGGCCATGCTGAGGCAGCGTCCCACATACAGCAACTACAAGGATGTGCAACTATGACATACAACTATCTACTGGGGCTTTGGGGAAAAAAAAGGAGGAGGATTGGCAATAGATGTTAGCTCAGAGCTGGTCTTCGTCAGCAAAAAGAGGAGGATTAGCACGGATGTTAGCTCGGGGCTGATCTTTCTCACAAAAAAAGAAAAAAAAAAGAAAGAAAAAGTGGGAAACTATTCTAGAATAAAAAAGACTAAAGAAACATAACCAAATACAATGCATGAAACTTCACTGGCTTTTTGTTTAGGAAACAGAAAACAACCTTAAAAGACATCTGGGAGACAACTGGGGATATGTGAATATAAACTGGATAATCAAATGCTTTTTCTTAGATGTGATAATAGATTGTGGTAATATAGGAAAATGTCCTCTTTTAGAAAGGGTATGCTTGGGGCCGGCCCTGTGGCTTGGTGGTTGAGTGTACGCGCTCCGCTACTGGCAGCCCAGGTTCAGATCCCAGGCACGCACCAACACACCGCTTCTCCAGCCATGCTGAGGCCGCGTCCCACATACAGCAACTAGAGGGATGTGCAACTATGACAGGCAGCTGTCTGCTGGGGCTGTGGGGAAAAAAAAGGAGGAGGACTGGCAATAAATGTTAGCTCAGAGCCAATCTCCCTCAGCAAAAAGAGGTGGATTGGCAATAGCTGTTAGCCTGGAGCCGGTCTTCCTTAGCAAAAAGAGGAGGATTGGCATGGATATTAGCACAGGGCCGATCTTCCTCACAAAAAAAAAAAAAAAAGAGTATGCTTAAGTATTTAGAGATAAAATATCATAATTTCTGCTAATTACTTCAAATGATTAAGCAAAAACTGTACATTTTATACACATATGCAGATAAAACACATGATAAAATGTTAACTGTCAAGGTTTTAAGTATACAAGTAATCATTATACTGTTCTTTCAGCATTTCTGTATACTTGAAAATTTTCATGATAAAAATTTGAGGGGAAAAAAACCGCTAACTTATGAACATTTCTTATGTTAAGTAATACTATGCCAGCTAAAGATTAACAGGCTGGCAATCCTAAAGGAATCCTATTTGCCAATGGAGATTTCCTTACCCTTCTGCCAACTAAACCTTAGCATACCTCCAACTCCACTGAAATCCCCCACCCTGCCACACCTCTTTGCTCTCTTCTATTATTTTCTACTCTACTCTCACTGCTCCCGCCACTCATCCACCAAGCTCATGGGACACACCACCACCAGAAACACTGCTTCCTTAAGCCCTCCCACAGAAGCCCTATCTCTTCTTGAGACAGTGGCAGGGGAAAAATCGTATGCAAGTCCCAATTCACAACTGTAAAATAAAACCTCTTAGGAAAAAGATGAGGAAAAAAATCAGAAATCAAAGGACTAAAGGTCAGATACAGGGAAGAACCAAGTAGCTTGAAAACAGTCTGGCATTACCTAGTAAGTTAAAGATACTCAAACCCTCAGACTCCACAATTCCAAATGAAGGCATACGCCCTGGAAAAACTCAGGCACACTGCCTTTGGACACATATATGAGAACATTCATAGCAGCATTTTCAGAAATCAAAAACTAGAAATAACCAAAATGTTTACCAAAGAAGAATAAATAAATTACACAATATTCATACAATGGAATATTATGCAATAATGAAAATGAAGAAACTAGAGCCATATGGAATAAATGGTATGAAAAACTTTAAAACATTAATGTTGAACAAAAAAGTCTTACATAAAAGATTATATAAATGGAATGACACATTACGTGAAATTCAAAAACAAAGTTAAACTGTATTATAAGGATGCATATTTAGAGGGTAAAACCACTAAAAAAGAAAAGGAGTTAACTAGCAATGTTGTATTTTTTTAACCAAAGTAGTGATTACACGAGTGTTCATTTAATAACGTGCTACACCGTAATCTGTTTTATTCCTTTGCTATAAGTGTCATAATTCACATAATAAAAAAGAAAACGCCACAATTACTTTTTTAAAAAATACCAATTAAGTAGGCTTCTGTTAAGCCAAGGCTATCATTTTTAACAATATTTTGATAAGAAAATGTCCAGACTTTCAAATAATTTGCAAATGAAAATTTAAAACATAGCTCATTTATTTGATGCACTATGGTTCAATGAGTAATTTCAAGTGTTATCACCAGACTCTACATGTATATAAAATGTTGTCAGTAAGTCTCAAAAATGTTTTCTTTCATTACAGATACGATACCAATAGGCAGACAAAGGATTACTAGTTTTGATATTTAAGTTCACGAAAAGCATGTCTTTGAAAAAGAGCAATAAAATAAAAATACTCCTAAACAGCTTTGGAAGTAGAAGTGGTCTACATAAGATATTCAAGCTTCCTTTCAAGTATTCTGGAAGTCCCTGCCTTTTTTGTAATTAAAAGCATAGTGTCATTATTTCAACAACTAAATAGTTATATATATATTAGTCTGAATCTTTAATAAAAAGCAAAGATACGGTGCATGCAATACCTTTCTGCTGCGGCTGTTGTAATAAAGGCTGTGGCTGAGTCTGCAGCAGTGGTGTAATAGAGGCTGCTGAAATCTGTGCCTGCAGCAGTGACTGGGGCTGGGGCTGAGCCTGAACACCAAATGTCGTCTGTGGTGCGATGGGCTGAAGTACAGCAGGAGGAGTCTTCAGTAAAGGCTGGGTTTGGGACTGATTCTTAACAAAAATAAAGAAATTAAAAATAAATTTTTAAAAAGAAGAAACTTTGTAAATTAGAAGACTCAATTCCCAAGTTTCTATAATACCTAACCCAATATTTTATATACCTGATTTGGCAGGGTTTGAATTCTTTGCGCATTCCATTTAAAAGGCATATTGGGATTATATGTAGCTTCAACCAATACTCTGTCACCCACTTGGGGGGTTTTCCCTTTGACAGCACTGGAAAAAAATTAAGTTAAATATAAATACAACTAAAAGAGATTCCTCCAAAACAGTTTTATATACCCAGTATTTTGAAGTAAAACTATATCTAAAATGGAAGCCGAAAAAGCTCTTTTAAAAAGCAGATATACCTCCTAGACTTAGTTTATTTTAGAACTGATCATGTTTCACCCTCTCTACATAAACACAGGGTTTGAAGTGGAAGAAATAATTTTCCACCCCATATTCTCCTAATATTGTGTTCCTTCCTCCATAGCACTTTCTAACTTTTATAATCCAAGAGTAAAATTTGCTTTGGGCTTTAGAAAGATGAGAGAAATGCATATAAGATGGAAAACAGGGGGCCAGGCTGGTGGCGTAGTGGTTAAGATCACGTGGTCTGCTTTGGCGGCCTGGGGATCGTGGGTTCGGATCCCGGGCATGGACCTATGCATCGCTCATCAAGCCATGCTGCAATGGCATCCCATATACAAAATAGAGGAAGACAGGCACAAGTGTTAGCTTAGGGCGAATCTTCCTCACCGGGGGAAAAAAAAAAACCAAAGATGGAAAACAGGAGACCCACTTACAGAAAAATCTTACACAGTGATTAAATTTATTTCCCAAATAAAGTACTTCTAAGGAAGTTCATTAGAAATATATTTGAAATATCTAAGGAAATTCGTGTTTCCTGCAACCACCACAACACTAACAAAATACTATTTTAGATATGTCAGTTCATCAATCATTCAATCCTATTCATTAATTTTTCAATTAAGAAATGTTTCTTGGTACATATTGTCATTAGATATGTCAAACAAAAAACTAAAGTTTAAAAGGCATATGACTGGGGCTAGCCTGGTGGCTTAGCGGTTAAGTGCGCGTGCTCCGCTACTGGCAGCCCAGGTTCAGATCCCGGGCG